GTCAAGAAACTGCTTATGAAGCAGCTTAATTTTGTTTCTATTGGTTTTCTTATTGATATTCAGAAGAATTCTTGACTTTGTCCAGTTCAGGACCTCCACGGAGTTTGACTCCCTAAACTACACGCCTTTAATAGTAATTATTTGTTATAAGGCTGGTGGAGTTTTTGTTCTTTTTTGGTTTTTTTTTACTTATACATTTTTTAACCTTATATGTACAGTAGTGACTGGAAATGGCTTTGCCTTGAGAGCCTTGTAAGACTGTGTTTCACCACTTACAGTTTTGGGATAGTGATATTCAGTTTAAGCAGCCAACACTGCTATCCTTGAATGAGCAGAATCTGATTTCTCCTTGCTTTCAAGGTGATAAGAATGTGTGGGCCATTCCACCTACAATTCTTGCTATTTCTACTGTGTCCCAAAAGGGAAACTCAAAAGTTGTCCTTACACTGCCTGTAGTCCATTGTTTTACTGTCAGTGGGAACTAATGCAAGGAAAATGGGAAAAAAAATCTGACTTGCCAGAAGTGGTGGTGCAAACCTTTGGTTTGTGCTGGACCTTGATTCTCTCTCACTTATGGTTTTAATATTCAAACAGAATGGTGACTGAAATGCAGGTTTGACATGAGGTCTGATTTCCACTGGTTTTCCTGTTTGGAACGTCAAGCAAGACTTCACCTCATGTTGTAATTTGGTCCTGGGGTTGGGTCAACAGTGAGTTTTGCATGTCCATTAGGTACATGCTTCTGCAGAAGTCCAAACAAGGAGCTGTGTGTTTGCTGCTTAGTGGAATGAGTGATTTCATGGTAGTGGACACAGATAAGGCCACCATCCCTAATGCTTTCTTTGTCTTCAGCACCAATTTCTTACATCCTTTGGTGCTTTGTGGCAAGCTGGGCAACCCTATACAGGAAAGACATGAAGTAACTGGAACAAGTTTGTCAGAAGAGCCCAAAGCTGGTTGAGCACTGGCCAGAGCAGTTGCCCTGTGAGGAGATGCTGAGGGATCAGGTCTTGCTCAGCCTGGAGAAGAGATGGCTCCAGGCGAGGCGTAATGGCAGCCTACCATGACCCCCTGCTAGGGGGTTATCAAGAAGACAGAGCCACTCACTTCACAGTGGGATAGTAATGGAGAATGAGAGGCAGTGGACATAAGCTGTAACAAGGGAAGAGGTGAGATAGATAAAAGGAAATTCTTCACTCTGGGGACAGTCAAGAACTGGAGCTGGTTGCCTAGGGAGGCTGTGCAATTTCCATCCTTGGAGATTTTAAAAACCTGACTGCTTAAAGCCCTGAGCAACCTGATCTGACCTCAGAGCTGAGTCTGCAGCTTGGACTAGATGTCCTCCCACGGGTCCTTCCAACTTGAATTGTTGTCTGTGATTCATTCCATGAATATTTTAAAACTACCTTGAACTTCTAGCTAAATTTATTTCTGATCTATTTGTGTCCTTGAGTTCTTGTGCTGTCTTAGGCTTGTCCTTTGCCTAAAATAAATTTTATTCTGCAATGTATTAACTGAGAACAATAACATTTGCTCTTGACTTTTGCCATGCTCTTCCAATTCCCAGCCCCTCTCCATAGGGACTGGAATAGAGTCCTTTTTCATCCTAATATCCCCTCTCTGCACCTGTTCTGATTTGAATTAATTTTCTTGCATGTAGGTGATTACAGCACTGCAGTACTGCACAAATCCAAATAGAAGGTCAATGAAGGAATGTTCATATCCTGCACTAGGCACTCTTGCTACAGAAAACATTTCACAGGACAATACAATTTCATTATTTTTTAATAACTGCACCCTGTCCATACTAATCCTGTCACTGTTTATCATTTCCTGATCTTGCTTTCTACATAGTGAAATATATACATGCAAACATATGCAAAGTTATTGTGCCATAGAAATTAATAATGAGTAATCATATTATTAAAAAGGCTTTTCAGATATATTCCCTAAACATATCTTTTACTAGCCATTTTCATTACTCTTAGTTGGAACTTTGTTTTCCCTCAGAAGCTGTTAATTATCTAGACCCATTTGTCTTTCAAATGTTTGTGCACAGAAATCTTGTCCCCTCTAAAATTACATCTATTAATCTTTTCGTATGGGTCTTTTTTTCTCAGTACCTTGGCTGAAAATTATTTGGCTTTTTCAATGTGAATGAAAAAGGTTTCTTTACAACAAGATGTTTTCTTATCATTCTCAATTTTGTTCTTAAGATCTGTGAAAAGATCAGTGAAGGGTTCTTTAAATCCCAGAGATCACAAGTACCTAAAAGGTGTGAAACATAACCCTTAAGTATATTGCTCACAGAATACCTTATTATACTTGTATTACAAGTGCTTTGAGATGCTAACTGTGATCTCAGTTTGGTCAATTTGGTCAAGTGGAGCTGTGGTCCTTCTGGGAAAGCAGCCTTCATTCAAGTACTAATTAAGAACAAGTAGTTCCCAATGATACAGCAGGTTTCCCAAGTCATATTTTAGGCTTTTATTTCTCCACAAATTCCTCTTTTGGGAACTTGTTCAAAGATAATCTAAAAGTCAATTCTCATAGTTGCTCAAGGAGATTGCCTGTCGTGTGCTGGTAATTGGTCGTGCAAGAGATAAACTGGGTCTTTTGAGATAGCATTTTGTTGTTCATGGCTTATGTACTGCTTTTCACAGTAATCATTTAAAAAGCATTAAGGTATCTGTAGATTTAGTAAGTGTAAATTTGAGCTTGTGAGACTGTAACAGAATGCTGGGCCCTGTGTAGAGTTCATTGGATAAATGTTTATGAATATATAAGGAGCTTTTAGTGCCAATGCTTAAATTATTTCTATCTCCCTTCCAAGTGTAGTTACAGAGGCCTCCTGAGTCTGGCCCTAGCACGTAAGCCTCTTATAAAGGGAAGGCATGCACTGATTCCAGCACCATCCTGTTGATCTGTGAGAAGGAATTTTCCAGCCCCAGCACTCCACCTCCTGCATAAAATACATGTTTTCAGCCATTGGATACAACTTATTTCAAAACAGAAAATTTTTTACTGTGTACTGGGAGCAGGTGCCTAGGGTGGGCAGATGGGGATGGGAGCTTCAGGGGTGACTTCTGTGAGGACACAGCTGGTCCCAAGCAGAGATTCCCCTGTGACCTTGGAGAGATCCTGGTGGAGCAGGTATTTCCCTGGAGACCGTGGGGAGACCATGGTGGAGCAGCCTATGGAGGGGACCATGCTGGAGCTGACATCCACACTGCAGCCCCTGGAAGACCCATCACAGCGGGTGGACATGCCCTGAAGGAGCTGTGGCCCAAGGAGAGCACGCACTGGAGCAGGTTTATACTGAAGGACTGCAGCCCCTGGAGAGGTCCCAGACTGGAGCAGAGAAGTGTGAGGAAGAGGAAGTAGTGGCAGAGAGGAGCTGTTACAGATTGAATGCAGACTTCCATTCCCATCCCCCTGTGCTGCTCGGTGGGGAGGAGGAAAGGGAGTTGGGAGTGAAGGAGTGAAGCTGGGAAGAAGCAAAGTGGGTGGAAGGAAGGTGTTTTAGATTTTGTCTTTGTTTCTCACCATCCAACTTTATTTCAGTTGGCAATAAGTTAATTTCCCCCATGCTTACCAGTAATTGGTGAGTGATGCCCTTGTCTTTGTCTCTACCCACAAGTTTTTTTTATCTTATTGTCCCCCTTTCTTCTGATGAGGAGAGGGAGAGAGCAGCTGGGTGGGGATCTGACAGCCAGACAAGGCTGACCCCCCACAAACTGTTTTAAGCTAGTGCTCTCAGAGTCATTTCAGCCCTACTTTTTCATCTCAATCTTCAATAGGCTTATTTACTAACTTGAAAATTATTTCCATTTCCATTTGATTAAGTCATATTGGAATTTTTGCCATGAAACAGAAACAAGGGAAGCAAACTTCACAGCACTGATTAGACAATATGATAATGTTGGCTCATTTTTAATATGATGATTCATTACTTGGCAAAATTAAGGCTCTGCATTATTTCTACTTCAGTTTCTACCAGGATTTATTATTATTTCAGAAGCTCTAATGCACATTTCTTTTTTCTTTCTTTCTTTTTTTAAAAAGGAGGTGTCAGTGTCCTATAGTTAGAATGGTACTAAAAATTCACAGGTTGCTAATTTCAGCACCACTGCTTGGACAGTAATGTAATTTCTGTGTGCAGGCACAGCACCAGCACTCTGCAGATCTTAGAGACTCAAGAGGCCGCACAAGATTCTTCCCCTGTCTGTGTCACGGTTGTGTCTGACATCTTGCATGGATATGTGGGAGAACTAAAAGAAGATTTTCCATCTTCCCATAGGTTTTGTAGAACACCCACTGGACCTCCTGCTTAAAGGCAAAAGACAATATGTCCCTTACTTACTTTCACATATCTGAACTGAGCTACAAACCACAACAAAATAAAGACAGAAAAGGAGCAATACTTGACTTGTGCCATTCTTATTCTTTTTGGAAGAACGTGGTCCAGTTTAATCCTCGTGAAAGTGGAAAAAATAACAGTAGTGGATTAAAGTCAGAGTTTAAGAAAATACATTTAAATATATCTTTTTACTTAAAAATTAGTTTCCTCGTCATTCAAAGACCTAAGAGTTAAGCTATGTTGTGCACACCTCAGGTACAAACTGACAAAAGATCCAATAAGTCAGACTATATAAAAAGCAAGAGACTTTTTTTTTCCAGAAAAATGTATTTGTGTTTTATCCGGTCATATAAAAAGCATTAAATTTTAAAAAAGTGTGTATGTATTTTTTCAAGTGTTAAGGGTTTCACCATTCATCATAACTACATTCCAAAGTCCTGTAACACCAGGGTAATCCTTATCTGTGTAGCACAGTGAGCATAATCTTTACACTGAGGTCACTCTCATTACTACCTCCCCAGAGCAGTTATCCTCTGATGAATCTTCCTGAGGTCTCATGCGGTTGAACAGATGTAACAAGACATAGCCACACTGAAATCTTGGTGAGGTTAACTGTGTTGGATGAACTAAACTTCTGTTTCTAAATGCAGTCAGTGGTAACCACAATGTCCTTCCTGATGCTGAGGATTCGATTGCTCTCCTCTATGTCCATGGCTTTATCATAGTTTAACACATCCCAGTGTAGATTCACAGCCCTCCAGCGCTTAAACACTCGATAAACAGATGCACCTTCGTGTACTATCAGCCCTGGAATTAAGAAGAGAAAACAGAGTGTGTACAAAATGTCAATGGATGCAATTTGAGAGCAAATAGAGATATAACAGATTGTAATGCCTCTGGCTCTATGTCCATGGCTTTATCATAGTTTAACACATCCCAGTGTAGATTCACAGCCCTCCAGCGCTTAAACACTCGATAAACAGATGCACCTTCGTGTACTATCAGCCCTGGAATTAAGAAGAGAAAACAGAGTGTGTACAAAATGTCAATGGATGCAATTTGAGAGCAAATAGAGATATAACAGATTGTAATGCCTCTGGTAATTTCCAGAGGCTATTAAATTACTTGTAACATTAATAAATCAAACAAACTGTACATATGCAATGTAAGTGGTTATTCATGTGTTTGGGAAACAGGAACATGCAAAGTAAATATAATTGTTCTGAATCAAAGCTCAACATAACCAACATTGGAATAATCTGAGCATGCCTAACTAAAATTATTTAGATTTAAGTAAACCAATGCAAAAGAACTTTACTATTAGATTTGTAAATTGTCTGTTCATGCTAGTGCTACCCTTGGTCACAGTCAGTACTATATGTTTACTGAGATTTGGACTAGTTTAGGTAGATCTTTAAGTAGGTTGGACCTTCTTTAAGGAACAGGATGGTCAGAAATTTAAGACTGTTTTATAGAATTCAGTACAGATACAGAAAAATTTACCTGTTTTCAGATTCCTGGTTCAACTTAGGAGCATAGAAGGTTTATGAAAGCCTGAACAGCTGTAAGTACAATGACTTTCCTGTCTTGCATCAGTAGAACAAGAAGAAATTAAATGTTATTATTAACTATGATGAGCATGGTAAGGATGATAGGTTTTCTTCTTTCTTTTCAAAATTCAGCAGGCAAAAGTTGAGAATCACCTTTTTGTTGAGATCCAGGAAATATTTTAAAAGGTCTTTCAGGGGAAAATACAGATTTTCTGGAGTCCTCAACTGACTAATCTGCTTATGAACTTCCATGTAGCTAATATTTATGCCTATTGTATGGATTCAAGCAATTTATTTAATTAAATGAAGCTTTGTATGTGTTTACATATTTATATTCACATTCTTTATGTGTAAGTATTTCAAATATGGATTTACTGAGGAAATGCATGGGGCTTCAGCCTTCTTACTAGTTTTTTCCTCAACCAGCCAGGTAACTCATGGTTCTGAGCAACATTGCATGTTTTCTTTGGCTCCCTGCTTTGAGAGGCAAGCAATCTGCCTCACTAAAAACATTTATAAAGCTTTTATCCAGTGTATTTCTTGCCTAAAATATTCTTATATATGACCACATATATAATACAATCTGTGGTGTCACAGGCTATAGTCCATTAACCCAAGAGACTATATATCACCTGTTTCTACACAGTGAATGTGATTTGTGTCTGAAGTCTCTTAGGGTGGTTAACTGATACCAGAAAGGAGACAGTCAAAGAAAGATGACACAGGCAGAAAGGATGATAAAAATATTTACATGAACAGCAAACCTCAGATTTAAGTGCAGTGATTTGCAGATAGTAATGTCTACTCAACACATTTTTAAAGATGATTGCACTGAGAGATGAAGAAACACAAGAATTGCTTTTGGAAGGACATGATACTGAATGCAGCATCTCTGTAAGGCTTTCAGGTTGCCTATAATTCATTGGAGCATCCAATACAGCAGAATACCATACAAATTTAATGAAATAGTAAATACCCTAAATGTGTTTTGTAACAGCATAGCATTTTAGTGGAAATTTTTCTTGATTGCAAGATGTCTATCTTCTCAGATATAGATAAAGCAATCTGTCCTAAAAGTTTAGCATAATAATAATTTAGTTAACACATAAATGCACCTTCTAGGTTCCAATCTAGACTGTCTGGATTGTCTTTAAAAGGATAAATGTATTTGATCATGTACAGAATCTACAAATCAAAGAAGCTGTGGTTTTGCTGCTGCGACAAAGATCAACCCTTTTGTTTTCTGTTGGATTTCCTATAAAATGATAAAGGAGATGAGCATAATTTTCCCTCTACCTGTCACCAGAACATAGCATTCTTTGGCCCAATTTCTCTCAAGACTGTGATGAACCAAAATTAAGAGAACCTATTTACTACGATGTAAAGATTTTCAATACTTGCCTGCACTCCACTGGAACCTGGACAACATATTTCAGAATAAAGAATGAAGCCTTTGAGAAAGGATCATTAAGGTACATGAAGTACAACTAAACAGTCAAAACCATCCTCCCAAAAGTACAACAGAAAGAGTTGTAAGACAGCTTCCTCCAGGGATCTCTCTTTTACTGTTTTGGGGCTTTCAGGATTTATTGAAATGATGTTTTCAAAGTTTTTCAGCATTGGCAAGGAAGAGGAATTTTCTTTACAATGGAAGCTGTCAGTCATATATGCTTTAAAAGAGCTACTGAACAAAGGATCAAATATTGCAGGGCTTGAAATAAAGTTGCAGATTTGGCAACGCTGAAGGAGAAAAGAATCACTTTCGTAATTCCTCTCATAAAAAGTTTTATTTCCCTTCTGATAGAACTACAAATTGCAAAAGATCTATGTAGAAGAGGCAAAAGAACTGGGGGGAATAAAAAAGCTCTCAGCACCAACAGTTCCAAGACCACAAACAAGAGGAAATCTGGGTAATGTTTAAATGCTGGAGATTTTCCAGGCCCAGAGAAGTTCTGATTCTCAGAACATAAGTTGTTAGTCACTGAAGTGGAACTGTAAGAAAACAGCAAAGAATTTCCTTTCTTTTCAGAGTTCCACAGCATACAAGAAAGAAAAGAAAGGATAAATCCATGAAGAATACTGATTTATTCCAAATACTCTGATTTCAACAGCACAGAGGACATAGGTGCACACTTCTATGGGGAAAAGAAAAATTACTTGTTTGTCTCAGATGATCCCAAGAAGAAGTGCTAGAATTCACTGATGTTACCTGTTCTGATGTTCTGTCCAATTAATATCTAAAAGGAACAGAGTTTTAGGATGATGGACCGATCAAAATGTCCTCAGGCTCTAAGAAGACTTCACCTTCAGGATTTATCTCTAAGATGCAGGGATTGTAGTGCTATCCAGAAAACAGGAGTATGGAGATTCATAATTTTATTTTATTTCCAAGTACTACATTTTTTTCACCCTATTCAAAGGATTTCTTACCCTGAGACACAAGACCACAAGACATACTCTATATCTTTGCAAGCAGGCAACTCATCTTGCATCATTTAGATCTGGTGGTATTAGATTCCAAATGTATCTTATTTATCACACTAATTTTACTTATAATCATTTAGGAATGGTCCTCCCAGAAACATCGCAAGATTTTACCCTTTTCAGAAACATACTTTATCTCTGGACAAAATGTCATGTCTTGCTGCTATTCTAGGGCCCATAGATTTAATAAATATTTAACCACTTGCTCGTAGCATTAAAGTGAAATATGTCCACTCTAAAAATAGTAACATAACTGTTTATAAACTGTATAGAATTAGATCTAATGTGGGGGAAAAAAGACTTTCTGAGTAATAATATATAAAGTGCAGCTAGATGTGTTCACTGTAAGCAACTTCAGCCTGTACATTTTTACAGCTAAGGAGTTATACGAATGTTGCTAGGCATCAAGTTCCTTGGCAGGGAAGAAAGAGGCTTTCAGAGGGCTATTCACACCTCACATTGGCTCTCATCTCATACTCCCTTGCCATAGTACTACTGGCCCTAGTCATGTTTCAAGCGCAATGATACAACTGGTTTTTGTGCTGTAAAGGTGCTGTACTGTTCTTCTGGCATTGCAAGTCAGCTGTTACTACTTGTGAGGGATTTTTGTTCATGCCAAAACCATTTATGACTAGTAGTTATGATTATTTTCCAGTGAAAATATATAAAAATCCCTCTACTTTTCTGTTAGGTGTACAAAGTAGAATGGCAAAAGCTTGGTGTACTGTCCTTCGGTGGTTAGATAAGGGATTTATGCTATTCATTCCTTTCATATTAACTAATGAACTCACTCCTCTTGGATGGTCTAGATCCTAGATCTCTCACTGCAATAGCTCTGTGTTTCACAGGCAGTGGTTCTACTTTATTACGGTGTTGAAGGTTTGCCTTAGGAAAACTTCGACCATTAGCAGATTTCAAAGAGAACAGCTTTACACCCAGCTTAGATGCAGGAAAGTACAAACTAGTGATTTGTAGGGTTAAAACCAACACTGCTAAGTAAAAATGATCCTGTTTGTCAGGAGGAATTCTTGAAAAGTTTAGAGTAGAACAAGGAGAAAAATGGATACCAATAAAATCTGTACATTGGAATGAACGGAACATATCATAGTAGTGATCTGTAATCTTTAGGATTTTTCTTTTGGTGAAATGTAAAACAAAACTAAGAAATAAAACACAAATTACATGTAATTTACCTAATAAGAAAATGACTGGTATGCTACGTCTGATATATAAGTCAATTACGGTGAAAACTAATTATTATGTGCAAGTTTTCAAAGATTTCATATAAATATGTGAGTACCTTTAGGCAAACTGCTTTTAAAATTATAGTGAAACATTTCAGAAAGTGCAGATATTTACACTTCACAAATAGCCAAAAATATTCACATTGTTTCTGCAAAGCTATAGGGAGGCATAACTGAAGGCAGGTGGAATAAATCTTGGTCATATCACCAGTAACTCAAGCATGGTCTTGAAATATGTGCTGCACAGGAAAGCCTGTATATCTGCATACATTTTTCATTGAAATAGAGAGAGATGACAGTGGGAGTATAGGTATTCACTCACTGTAAATCCTGTTGAAAAGTAAGAATGCCATGGATTACTAAACACAAATGAAAGGAACTGTGGCTGGCTGTAAGCATTACAGGCTTTATGATAAAGAGATTATGTATAATGATGGTAAAATCATAGGTTAATGCCTTTGGGAAGTCATCAACATAATGGAAATTGTTTGGGTTTTTAAAAATCATTAATAAGTAATAATTACATACATCTATTCAATAACTTTATTTGAATGTTTTAAATTAAAATTATCCATCTAAACCCCCTCACTTTCTGATGAAAGAAAAAGATACAATTTAATAAATTTGACTATACTGATAGATATTTTCAAGAGTTACAAGAACTCCTGACCTTACAAGCTTATAGAATGCAGATTGCTTGAAATTATGCACAGAATAAGTAGGGCTGAATCAATCTGGATCATCAGAATTCTTCAATTCTCCTTTATACAGCTTTCTGAACTTCCAGATACAGTCTAATAAACTGTTAAGTCATATCTGCACTGAGCTACATAATGATAAAACAGTGTCTAAATATGTTTAATTATAGCCAGTTTTAGACTAAAATTTCCATGTATTATTTACGATAGGAATATAAAATATGCATTTATTTAATTACAGGCAAATCTGTTTATCTTGTGGGGGAAGACAGCTGCATGTTTGCTTTGCTCCTGCATGGTGCCAGTTAGGCTAGAAGTTCCATTGGCATGTGAGGTACATGTTAGTTCAGTAGCTCATCTTCCAACAGTTTACTTCTATGGATAAATGCACTAATATTTCTGATCACCAACAGACGTTCTTGCTTGATTTTGAGTTTAATTTGGTTCAGGTGTTTTAACAGTCAAACAAATGGAAAGAAATGAAAATAGTTTGAAATGAAAACAGGTTGAAATAACTGGTTATTCCAACTAGCTGATGCATACCAAAGTGATTCATTTATGACTGTAATATCTCTGGGAAAAAAACAACAAATGAGAATTCCATATAAATTGAATGTTTAGAATGCCTGAAGCACATATCTTCATTGAGGGGTTTTTTTTAAAGACAAAAGCAAACTGCCCAATAGGGAGTGTTAAGCCAGAAACAGCGGTATTCAGGAGTCAGCACAAAGAGAACATGTAGCTGAGGCTTTATATTCATTTAAAAGCTGAGCACTTGTCCAGAGTATTAGAGATTCTGTTCACTTTTCTGTCTGGGAAGATTTGGGTTCACAGAAGAAAGCCTGTGTTCCAAAATATTCCAGAACAGGCCACTCTAACAAAAATTGCAAAATGAACAGAACTGCTGCTCTACCATTTTACAGCAACGGGATGGTTTCAATAGAAGATGATATGGCTTTATGCTTGGAGAAAAGGCTTTATGGTTGGAGGAAAAGCCTTGATATTAGGAATCCCTCTGTTTCTTTGTCCCATATTGAGCAGAATTCAACAGTGTCCTTCTGAATTCCCATATATGAGACTGGGGTAACATCAACATTTATCACTCAGAAATCTCAAAGCAAACACCAGATGGCATTTGACTTCTGGATTTTCTTGGAATTGCAATTCTAAGAATATGGCTTAATGTAAATTAATGCTATTAATTATGTAAATTAAATTATGTAAATGATATAATTATGCAATGTTTAATGCAAATTTTCTCTGCAAATACTTGCAGCTATTCTAATAATCAATTTAAGGTTGTTTTACCAAATATGAAAGGGATTCCTACTTAAACATTTCTGGGTCCAGTGTATTTTTCAGAAATATCCGAAGTGGTCAAAATTGCTTTGCAGTAATTACATTTTCTTTAACAAGATTTCAGCTACAGTTAAATGACTTCAGACTTTTTAATAGTAAAGCAAGTTACTAGAGTTAGCGCTATGTGTTTCATAACTCTTTATGATGCACAAAGAACTCATGCCTGTCTAATCTGTTCTCCTCCATTACTAGCACAGTGACCTATATAAGTCTGTGCAACTCAAATTTGGGCGTGCATTTTGATGACATCCTCAAGGGCTTCTTCTGCACTTCATGATGGTACAATGTAATGCAAGGTGGAATCAGTAGAAGATTTGACAGTGCAGAATTTTACTAATTGTTTTGATAATGTCTTTGCTATTTTCAACTATTGAACTTCCTGAGTCATCTATTTTTTCAAGAAGTTGACGCTGATCCTGTTCTCACCACTAAGATTTTGGGAAGACATTTTGAGGAACCTGAGAGTAAAGCTTCTTTCATTCTCTTCTCTTTGCACTATTTATAACACCATAAAAAGCAGCATTTGCCAAAGGTATCAGCCGAGAATAAATCTGCAAAGAACTGGAGTGATCGATTAGAATGACCAATTAGAAAAATAGAAATAGTCACAGTCTTAAACCACAGTCTGTGCTGTTTAAAGATTTTGAGCTTACCTATGCATACTAGATCCATAAAACCATACATTCCATAGCAGATTTGAAAAAGGATGTCCTTTCTTTGCCATACTGCATAAGGGCTGAAGGCTGACCATAGAAGCCAAGTCACACTTGCTACTAAGAACAGAGATCCTAGGATTACAGCAACCATCTGCACTTTCTCAACCAGTGTTATAGTAATGCTTTGCCACTAAAAGAGAAACAAAGTTGCATAAGATAAAAATGTTATTTTCCATGATTGTACATTCAACTCCACTTTTTTCCTGAAATCAGAAATTATTTTAATATTTATACATATCTTCATAGATATTTACTAAAATCCTTGATACGGACATTTTAGATACTTTTTTCCTGTTTCACTTTTAGTTTAAGTGAAGCTAGTAGTTGCTTCCCCGTCTCCTCCAATGTCACTATCAATACCATCTAGCTGTGAACTTCAGAAAAGTTAATAGTTTCATTTCTTTTTTGAATAAATAGAAAATAAAAGTATTAAGTCTTAGGAATGGAAGTCAGTCTTACATCTCTGTAGGGTAATGAACAGATTTTTAAAAAATGTTGGGAAGGCTCTTTCAAGTATGTTTTATGTTAGTGTGACAAGTTTCCTTTCCATCCCACCCTCCTGAAGTGTGAAGCCATTTTCCACTTTCTGCTTCTCATCAAAGAAATACCAGACACACCAAGGGAGTTGTCTTTCTCTGCATAAACCAATGTTAACACTACAAAAAGACACTTGCAACTTAGTGTGGAAACAACCTAAAGACTCAGGAGAAGCTCTGAATATAGACAGCACAAACATTTCTTTTCAGTGCACCCCAATTTTGTCCACCTTTCCAGGCAATCTTCAGTATCTGAGGTGACTCTGATTGATGGTGTGACAAGATTTATATATAACAGAGTATGCTTACTGACTTCTGTCAAGATAAAAATAGAAATAAATTCTGTTAAAACAGAGTCACGAAAGCGAAAAACAGCACAAGGAAAGAATCATTCTAGATTACCCTTAACATATATGGTCTTTCTTGGCCATAATTATCTAAATTACCTCGACAGACTCCCCATTCCAGCCCCATCACTCATTCCAGAGCTAGTGTGCAGACTTTGGAGACTGCCGTCTTTCCTGTTGCTACCTTTGGACATACCTGTCCCCTTCTGCAGCTGCAATAGGGAACAAGTGGAGAAAGCTACTGCAGTAAGGGCTTTCTTACCTGTTTTCCCTCCTGGCAATAATTTCTCTTTTTTCCTATTACTTTATGAAAACCTTATCTTTTTTACAGCAGTTTGGTACCTAGTGCTGTATAATCATAGGATAATAGAATAATTCAGGTTGCAAGGGGCTGTAGGAGGTCTCTAGTTCAACTTCCTGCTCAAAACACAGACCAAGTCACTCAGGGGCTTATTCAGTAACACCCTGAAAACCTGGAGACTGTTCAGCCTCTCTGGGCAATCTGTTTCACTTCTTGACTGTATTCAGGTTTAAAAATGTTTTTCTTAAAAAACATCTTTTTTCTTATATCCAGTCTGATCCTCTTTTGTCCACATTATGCTCTCTGCCTCCCATCGAGTACCACTGTGAAGAGCCTGGGCGAACAATGAGGTCCTCTGCCCTTTCTTCAGTTTCAGCTTTTTCCATTAACTTTTCTATTGTAGCTTAATTTGTACATCTGGTGCTGCATGCCTTCTCTTGTTGCAGCCTTTGGAATACAGCAGGACAAAAAGATAGATGTATAACAATTTGTAAATTGTCTATCTTCAAATAGCACCCTTTTTATAATGAACTTATTAAACTCATCCTAGCTATTTCATGGAACTTCAGGGTTTGGAATGGGGCTATTCATATTAAATACTACCTTTTTATGGCAAAGCAAGTATGGATACTCATTTCCTTTGTTAAAAGCACTTTTATAAGTTCAAGGAAGGTCATTAGCAAGTGATGCATGACAGAATGGTATGAGCTTCTCATGACTCAGATATTACTTGTATACAGGATTTAAAGTTCAGCACTGAAATTCATAGAACTCCCTTTAAAATCTATAGGGCTATGTTCAAAGAAATTATTTTTCATTTCTTAACTGAAGCTACATAGCGTGACTTGGCAGAAAACTATCAAAAGTGCTATTGATTATGTATCTCTATCTTCTTTTTTTATCAGCCTGAGACAGACTTGTATTAAATTTGATCAAAATGCCTGAAATCAAGATACGTTTACATGAAGTAAATCTTAAACTGTCAAAAATATTAAACTGTCAAATTCATGGAAGAAACTGACAATAAATTGAAAAGACTGTTATATCACTGAGATAAACAGCAGCTCTTTCACAGTGCAATTTCAGCAATGTAGATGTTCCTAAACTTACTTCAGCTTATTTTGATTTTCTTTTCTTTTTTTTCAAACTTAGAGTGCTCTTAGTTATTCTGCAAAGATAGCACCAAACAAAAGGAAAAGCAATCCAAACATGCTGCATTACATAAGTAATGTAGCATGCAGTGTAGATATAAACCTCATTCCTTATTCTGGTGTTATCTGACAACCAATATCTATTCCTCTGAGACAACCACTCCTACTATCTTTTTTCATCTCATGAGGGCTTTTTTAGGGTTTTCCCAAACTTTCTTTTTCGAGAAAAGTTTGACCTTGAAAAATTCTGAGAAACATAGATATGATCCTCACCTCTTCCTAGCCTCTTCTAAAGAATGTATTCTCATTATTTTGCTCTTCTCCTGATCAGATAATTGTCTGTCAAGAATCTCTTCACCTCAATAAAGTCGGTAATTCCAAAGATTCAGCATATTAGCATGCTGCCAACCAGGAAGGGGAGCCACTCCAATCACTGAGAAAATCCACAAGTGTTCCACAGCTTATAGTTCCTAAATCCTCTGTCTTTAAAAATCAAAGAACAGTTCCAAAAACCCACAAACCACCCCAAAACCCCAGCAAAATAAATCTGTTACCCAACTGGTTTAGCCTTTGTGGCATTCACTGTCTTTCTTCTACAAAAGAAGCTGTAGTCCTTCACTTTCCTCATTGTGAAGGTCATCAATAACCAAGAAATTGAAATATTTTAGGGAAATTTCCTCCCTATTAGTGTAATCTCTAAGTTAAACTAGTTGATTACATTCCACAGTAGATGGAGGAGGAAGGATTGTGTGTGTAAGACAGAAGACATTCTAGAGGCCTAGAAAGTTTTATGTGAAACTGCTAACTTGCCTCCTAGTGCTAGACAGTCTGCCATAAGAATCCAACACTCTTAGAGTGATGGGGTGGGATGGATTGGCATTAAGCTCTAACATGCAATCAGCTTGGGAACCTCATCTTCTGTGTATGTTGGTCCTTAGTGCTAATGGCAAGAAGACTGTGGATATTCCTGATGGCTAACTTACCCCAACTGAAATTTCCTACTCCTTGTTCCCCTCCAATCAATTTTGATTTGTAACAGTCTGAGATTACCTCTTGGAAAATGAATGCCTTGATTTTTTTCCCCATAAATTTGACTGAGTTTGGGTACAAACTGTAAAAGATGTTACTAAGAAAGGCATATTTGTCACAGAATGAAGGTGGTATTCTATACTTATGATGTTATTCACATGTAAATAAGTTTGGAAGGCTCAGACCTTTACTTAGACATGGATGGCATTAGCCATTAGGCAATGAGAAAAACTACATAGGATTGAGTTGTTTGGTTGCTTTGCACTTCATAACAAAGCTTGCAAAGAGGAACTGGAGTTGTGGTCACACTGTTTTCTTCTACCTCAAGTCTTACTCACAGCATAGCTAATAGGAACAGAAAATGTTTTCTAAGAGTAAGATACCTGTTATAGTATCAAAAGTCAATAAAACGTTATTTGATTTCTCACCCTCATTTACCTTATTGTATCCCTTGTTATGTTGTTATAATCACTTCATCTTCTAATGTCAAATTAATGGCTTACAACAGAGATACAAAAATAATATAGCAAAAATAATGCAGTGATATTTAATGTTGAGAAAATGCATTTAGAATATAACAGATTGAAGTACTTAATATTGCAAATTGAATTATATCATTGTTACTGTGTCCCAATTTAAATTCATTATTTCCATTAATGTTTTTCTCATTTTCTTCATATAACTTGTCTCATAAATCTTAATCGCTCATGATTACAAATTATATTATGACTTCCTAATTTGCTTTTGCTATTTGCTGACTATACATTCCATAATCAGTAACAGTTATTTTTGCTAAGTATTTTACCAACTTTGAAAAGATCTAGACAGGCTTTTACTGTCAGCTTCTGTAAAGTATATCACCCTAAAAAATAAATATTATGAGAAATATTACCATTTTTGCTTAAGAACTAGAAATTGAAAGAAAATATTAAAATTTTGTATCTAGATAACTATGATAATACTGTAGTTTTTCAGACAGATTCATTAAAAAAACCTCATTTAAATTTCTATGAAATAAGATCCTATTTCATATTCCTTCCCTTCATATCTGGAGTGTTACAATGTACCATGCCATCTCTATGGCCCATGGAAATAATGCATTTTACTTTAATATACAATGATGGTGAAAATTTCCTTTGAAAATGGTGGTTTAAACAAAATATAATTAATGCTTCTGATTTTAATGTAATACTGGCTGTCCCTTGAAAGCTTTCTATACTTTTACTTCTACTCACACTTCATTATGGTTGGCTCTTTTAATCTTTTATTTACCAATGGTCTTCCTTTCATAAATCATTTGAGAGTCTATTAATGGCATACTGGAGTTCAAATGCTGACCCCAGAAACATTGCTCCTTTTTCCTTCTAAGGGCTCTGTCAAACACAAATACTACATAATTTGTTATTTTTTAAGGTCAATACTTTCAGAAGTTGAAGGAAACAATCACTTTGATGGACTAATTGCTAAAGAATAAAGTTAATCCAGTTATATGCATGTCCTTACTAACATAAAGATGGATAAAATATTCAAAGGTCTGTCATGTTTGAGATAAATCGATATTAACATGCTCTTTTTTAATAACGTCTTGTAAAAGCCATTAATTATTTTAAAATACATGGCAGAAAAGTGATCGAAAAAGTACTGAGACTGTGCTTGTACTTAGAACACATTGCATAAAAAATGCAGAGAAACTAGAGGGTTTCCTACAGTCGTAATAAAGAATCTAGGAAATTTTCTTAGGGCCTCCAAAATGCATACTAACTTCA